GGCGTGTCAAGATTGTCACTTTGTTATGAGCAGAAGGTGAAAGTATAATAGTAATAGGCTAACGCAAGGCGTCAGTCAAAACGACTCGAATTACCAGCCCACAAAGGTTTTTTCTGAAGCACAAGAATGGGCACTCGCCAACTGTCTTGTAAAAGTGTGTTCTTATGGGCTGATCTATAAAATGGTGATACACCCTTCATAAAAGCCCTGGCATAACTCACAGAATACCATCAGCACGCATTGCATTATTATCAGTCAGTGGTTTTATGGCAAGGAGTGTCGCTAGGAGGATCCACTGTGTTACGTGTAAGATTTCCTTGACACCAAGTTGTCAAGTCTGTCCCCGTGGTTTTATGAAAAAAAATTTATGAAATTATGCAGACTGAGCCCCAAAATGTAAAATTATGCGATTCTGTTAATTTTTAAAAAGAATAATGAAGGAAAATAATCAGAAATTAAGCAAAAAAAAAGAAAAAAATTGCTACATTTTAATTAGATTCTATGCGGGGTGCATAAAACCACGGGGACAGTCAAGCTGACAAACACCACGACCACGGGCGAAGCGTCTATATAATCAAATAATCACTGCTTCCCTTCCTAATTTTGAAACATTGTCGCTGTCAAATTCATCCTTAAACGTAAACCTCTTAAATTAAAAGTAAAAAGAGGTTCGTAATCCACAATGAGTATGCCTAACATTCAAAACGGTTTCACGGCCACATAAATAGCCTCCTCACCCCTCTCGGGCCACTCCATAAGCAGTCGCAAGCTTTGATTAAGTAAGCTTAAAGTTAAAGTGAGGCTGGAAGAGTCTACCAATACATTTGAGGGAACATGTGCATAGCAGTCATGGCTGTTTCATTGCCACATATATACCCTGTTCACCCCTTTGGGGCCACAGTTATAATCAATCCCAAGCCCTGATTAAGTAAGCTAACGAACACTGGTCGAGTCTACCTCACAAATGTGAGGGGAACTAACTCCTAACAATCTCTTTACTGCTGCATGTGCTTGGTTTTTTTCCTCGACTTTTTACTGTCCTATATAATCAGATCGTGACCTCGATTATGACACCAGCTCCTGGCCACGAAAGGCTAACAAAAACAGCCAAATGTGAAATTTAAAAAATGATAATTGTCATGTTCTACCAAAGAGTTAGACTCTCTGGTAGGTCTATAACATATAGATCTAGTACTGACATCTCTGCTTCTTTGCTTTGTGTTTATGTATTCACATCTAAAGTTAATTTAATTTTAGTTGGAACTGATATTTAATAAGATTTTTTCCCGATTATTTTGGCGGTTGAACATACAATATGAATTCCGGATTTGTTTTCATTCACAACTCAGAGTCGCCGCCTCGAGTAAGATTCTTCTGTGATATCTACAGGCCATATAGATCTATATTTGGTCCCGTTTCACTTTGATTACCCTGTCAAACAAGTCAGCCTTCGCCCCTGACCACGACCATGCAGTTTACACATCGTACGTGTATAAAAGGATACATGTAGTAGTTAGGGAAAACTTATCTTCTCTGATGATATGTATTGTATGATAGTGATGGAGTGTGACAGAACTTTCTGACAACAACTCACAAAAGCAGAAGGACTGGATTGATCTGTAAGGCCTGCGACCTCATAGCCCAAATCACAAAGCATGTCTTGAGATCATCTGTCAGTGGCCATGTGTCCACCAAGATTTGAGATCATATGACGAACGCACAGCATATTCCCACCGAAGACAGCCACAAAATCAAATAATAAAGGAATCATACAAGGTCTTCTGCTAGATCATGAATAACTGATTAGGGACAGATACACCCACAAAGATATGGGAATGCGACGTCAAAAATTGACGAAGACAATCATCTTCCTGCATGTGTAGCCAACATGATGTAAAAGCAATCCATTGTGTTATAAAAGTGGCCGTTTTATTAAAAAGTCAGTCATTCACTTTGTCTCCCTCTGCCCCCCACCTCAATCCCCACCCGGGAAAAACAAAGAAACACTACTTCATAAGAATAATATCATTGTCTATCGTTCGTGTGTAGCCCACGTCATCGCGCAATTATGTTTCCCAAAATCAGTCAGTATGAGCGGTATTGTGTATGCATGTACTTTACATGATAAAAATAAAAGCAACAACAGCAGAAAAAAACGAACCTTTTAACAAACTGAATTATGTGCTCAGAGCTCAGTGTTCCATTCATACTCTATGAAGACCCAAGTGTTGTCAGGGACACGCAGCATGACGTCGCTGTTTCTATTCATCTCCATTATGATGGCCGCTCAGTGCTCTTTAAGTGAGTACATGCGGCGCCCGTTCAGTTACACAGGTAATGTAGTCACATACCTGATCTACCGTACTACATTTGTATTTAAATCATAAACTCTGGTCTCTTGGTCGTTGTGATGAAATCAGGCGCTCGTCAAAATAATTAAATCAATAAGTATCCGGCAGCAGCAAACATCATCAAGAATGTGGTAGACCCCCAAAGCCAAGAGTAGTATTCCCAACAGATGCCATGTCAGTACTGCAGGCAATCATTTCCGGCAAACCACCAAGGCTACGAAAAGTTATAGAGGACATCCCATTCTGAGGATCATGCTGCAATGGATTCCATCACATTGTGGTGTCTTAGGAAATGAGCAGGCAGACAGAATGGCCAAACTAGGGGCACAGAAAGAGCAACCAGACAACAGCGTTAACTACACAGAAATAAAAACTGTTATAAATACACTATTTAAAGCACCTCAGACACCAGAGGGCTACCACGAGCTGTCCCGCCAAGAACAAGTGATTATCTTTTTCATTATAGTAAAGTGTTTTACGGCGCACGCAACTGCATAAGGTCATATGAGCGCCAAGGGGTGGGTGTCAACAGAGAAGTCTTCACAAGGAATCAGACTTACTCTGCTCACCTCTCTAGCTTCAACAACACAAGATCTGCTTCGACTATCAAGGCACCTCGGAAATAGCAGGTCACAAGAGAGTGACAAACATACAAAAGAAGTACAGGTAAATGACAATAGTAAGGATCACGAAAGAAAAAGCAGCAGTTCCCTGTTGTAGGTCAGGCACAGTTATGAGGGTGACATGAATCAGCCCATTTACAATTCTTATACTATGCTTGAACGAGAAATGTCCCCCTTTTGGGAATGGCCTAAAGACACTACAGTCAGCGGCACTGCCCCGGGGGGGGGGGGAGTGATTATCTTCAGACTAAGGACACATCGCACATGACTGAGACAACGTATGTACAAATGTTTTAAACTAGTAGCCTACAATCACCAAAATGCCAGTAGTGTGGAGAGGCGAACCAAACTGTTGAACACTTCATTCAGTTTCAGCACTGCAAGACACACAGGGCCCTGAGACAGGAAACGTGGCCAACCCCACTGACGCTACAAGAGAAGCTATACGAGCCGACAGATGAACTGAGCAGGACGGCCCAATTTATGACAGACACCAGACTTCAAGTGTGATGCGATCGAGAAGAAGAAGAAGAAGTATCCGGTATATCTTTCTGCCCGCTAGGCGGTTTTTAATCTCATTTTTTTTCTTTTTTTCGTTCAATACTTTTTTCTTCCCCATTTAAAGAAAAGCACATTTCTGAAAGTAATTTGCTGAACAGGGTTTTGTTTTATTTGCAGTTTCTTAGAACTATCAAGCTTGAGAAGTCACCAAACTTCGGTAACCAGTTTTTCCCTAGCTTTACCTCTGACGCTTACACCAGTCCACCCTCACTTGCTTCAATTACAAATGTCTTGATTTCCATTCAAGATAGATGGATATTTTTAAAAAAAAATCAAAAGCAAGACAAGCTACTTTAAGATGACACCAATAACTCCATATATGCCCAAAAATTGTTAACCACCTGATTCCACCATGTCATGAAACAAATTCAATTGCATCAGATGTAGCCCATTGAATCTTCACATGATCCCGAGCTCAAAGGAGTAGGCCTACTTTAAATAATGAAGAATGCTAACAATAGCTTTTTTGTTTAAAATATCAGTAGGCTACTGGTACTCATGGCTAATGGGTATGAAAGGTGATTTAGACTTCGAACATGCCAAAACCCAAGAGCAATAGGCTCAGCCTAAACGCACGGTGCTAAGTAGGTCTCGTGGAGTTTACATGAAGAAGCATGCGTTTACATGAACCTATGCAAAAGGGGAAAGGGGCGCAACTAATTCCTTTCCCTGATATTTTAGTGATTACCATTACATCCCTTGGTTAGATTCTCCAATCTCAGTTACATGTACAACAAAGGTGTTGATGAATGAGAGATGAGAAAAAGCAGAAAGACCAACTCACTGAACTGATGTGCACTAGTATGTCATGAACAGATAAAAGGAAACTGCTGACCACAGGGAAGAGCACTCAGCCACATATGGTTTTCCAAGCAACTACTCCTGACAATCTGTCAACTCGGTAAACCGTAAACACTTGGATGACAGACATTTTAAGAGACTTCTCCAGTGATTTGTGGAACAAGTAGCCTACATAAGTTCCTTAAGCACAGTTCATCACTAGACTAAATCATAAATCCCAGAGGCTTATCGAGTGTTAAACAACATTCACGCATGTGGAGCATCATAGGCATGTCTAAACATTATTATAGTCACCCAAACACCACTGAGAAAACATCTCCCAAAGACCCATTTCAGGTGACCAAACAAAAGACATTTCAGTCACCTCTCAGACATATTGCTCGCCCAGTCCTGTGTCCATAGGGTGTGAATGCGCTGTCCATCACTTTCATATTCATTGTGCCCTGTCTAGGTTGTTGCAAAACTTTCCTTTTGCAGAGCTCTACCTGTTGGTGGATCGAAGTGTGTTTACAGAAAGTGACCATGCACTTATATGAATTAATTTAAAGTAAAAAACCTGTCATATGATGAAGGGGTGCATTTGAGCAGAGCAGTCCTTTGTATGGTGTGCATTTAGTCGGAGACTACTGTATACCATCTGACATCTGAAAAAAAAAACCCAACCAAATTATACATGTATTCGCATTAAATTTTTGGAAAAATAAACAGGCTTTCATAATTTTGCTGTGTAGTAATAAACACACTTCACAATTGTTCATAAGAATCGATCAATAAAAAACATAACAACAAGCTCCTTTCCTGTGAAACTTGACTTTTACAGAAACACCCCTTACAACCAAACCCAAACCACAGGAAAGAAAAGCTGATATATCAAATAACAATATCAATAAAACAACTATTACAACAAATGATCTGGAATGAAATCCTGGGGGTCCAAAGGTTTGATTTCCACATTCTCTAAATCCTGACTCAGTTGCCCAAACTTTATATTTTCAGCATGACTTTGTCCTTCCAAACTGGCCAAAGCTGACATGGTGTTCTTTTCATGCTGAGGTAAGTCTGTCCACATATGGGCCACGTTGAAAGCCACAGTGGGAGAGTGGAGGCTGTGGGACCCTAGTTTTTCATTCAATTTGGGACCAACTTGCCGATAGTAGTAAAAAAATCTGAACGGGGAGAGAAGAGGGAACATGGACAAAATATCAGAGCCGCATCAAAAGAAGTTATCATCCAAGTGAACAAAAGGACAAGACAAGATAATACGATTAGATCTATGACTAGATCAGCTCCCTGAAGGCCACAAAAATGATTCAAAAGTTTCTTTTGATCTTATGTTTTAGAGAAGCTTGTGTATGTAGTCTAAAAATAATCTTATTTTTATAATATAGATTCATACAGTAAAACCCCTGCTATTAATATTAATATATTACACATACCATGTTATACAGTCGACTCGGCTAGTGTTGAATTTGCTTGAGTTGATATTCAGTTAAGTTGATCTTTTTCTCGGATCCCAGTTCCCCTTCTTCTTTACAGGTCCCAATGGTCAAGTTGAACTTTGGATCAGTTAAACTTTTTTTCACTCCCCCAACATCATCAACTCATCCAGAGTCGACTGTACCACCACGTTGTGCTGAGGTATAACACGGAATGCCTACCTTTAAACTGCCATCTGCTAACTGCCCGAGTTATATGGTCCTTATTAAACAATTGTACATTTGTCCCTCAACACCACTGAGCTCACCCATGTGGTTCCCAGGGCCCTGTCCAGGAGACAGGGAAGCAAAGAATAGGACCACTGTATCCGTACCGCGAATGTCGTAGAAGGCAATTACGGTCGGTTGGGCAAAGGGTTAGCAGCCCTTTCCCGTGAAAAAAAAAACAGCTACAAAAACATCAACAACAAAAACACGACCGCCAGTTCTGAAAGATGGAGGACCTTCATCACCGAAGAGAGGTGAGAAAATGGAGTTCAGAATGAGGCAGGGTGGCGAAAGCCGAAAGGAAGCCACTAAGCCGAGAAACCTCCTGTCGACCAGAAGAACCACCAGACTTGGCACCTGGAATTTTGAAACAATGTACGAGGCAGGGAAGGCACTGCAGGTCGCAAGAGAGATAGAGGCCTACCAACTGGACATATTGGGTCTCTGTGAGACGAATGCAGGGGAGTGCTAACTTGCTTCAGGGGAAACAATCCTCTACTCTGGACATCTGGAGGAAAACTCGCCACGTACAGAAGGAGTAGTTATTCTGTTATCAACACACGCCAAGAGGGCTTTGGTAGGATGGAAAGCAGAGGGTCTGCGACTAATATCAGCTGAATTCCGTTCACAGAAGAAAGGCATCAACCTTCATATTATCCAAGGGGGCATACCCCCACCACTGATAAGTACCGGGATGTGAAAGAGACTTTCTACAAAACGCTACAAGATACTATTGATCGGGTTAGAAGGAAGGACATCTTGATCGTAATGGGAAACTTTAACGCTAAGGTTGGCAGTGACAATGTAAGTTTTGAGGAAATCATGGGGAAACACGGACTTGGAGTCAGAAATGAGAATGGAGAACTATTTGCAGAAATATGTGCAGCGAATGGGCTCATGATAGGAGGGACTGTTTTCCCACATATGCAGATGCACAAAGCAACACGGGTGTCGCCAGACCAACAAACTGAAAACCAGATTGACCACATATGTGTCAGCAAGAATTTCAGGAGATCAGTAAGGGATTTAAGAGTTTACAGGGGCGCAGACGTAGCTTCTGACCATAATCTGCTCAGTTCAACAATCCGACTAAAACTAAAGCAAAGACAGGTGATTGTCAACCATAGGTACCGGTACAACGTAGAATTTCTGAGAGAGCCAACGTCAAGAGACAAGTTAAATGTAGCAGTTAAGAACAGGTTCCAAGTGTTGAAAACACTAGGCGAGGATAGCAGCGTGGAAGAAACATGGGAGGCAATAAAAGAAGGCTGGACCACTGTGTGTCAAGAGGTACAGGGGAAACGGAAACGAAAGCACGTACCGTGGATATCTGCCACCACTCTGAGGAAGATAGAGGACAGGAAAAAGAAAAAGGATCAGGTAAACAGGAGCAAGGCAAGAGCAGCCGAAGCAAAGGGCCATGAAGAATACACCAAAGTAATGAAGCGTACTGAAAGACAAAAGAAACTATGTAGATGGCCTTGCATGCGAGGCAGAGGAAGCAGCAGGGGCAGGAAACATGAGAGGACTGTATGAAACCCCAAGAAACTTGCAGGCAGATATTGGAACGCAGATGTGCCAGTTAGGGATAAAAAGGGAAAGCTTGTCACAAATCGAGACGAACAGAAAGAACGCTGGAAGGAGCATTTCAAAGAGCTACTGAACAGACCAATGCCAGAAAAATAGTTTGACTTTCCACCAGCAGAGATTGATCTGGAGGTGAGTGAAGAAAGGCGTAGTTTCGAGGAGATCAAGGAGGCGATAAGACACCAGAAAGCAGGCAAGGCAGCCGGTCCAGATGGAGTATCCCCAGAAGTTCTCCAGGCGGATATCGACACTGCGGCAGGGATTCTTCATGGAATTATCGGCAAGAAATGGGACGGCGAAGAATTTCCACAGGACTGGAGAGAGGGGTTGCTTGTGAAACTACCCAAGAAAGAAGACTGCATTAGTGTAAAAACTACAGAGGAATTATGCTCCTGTCCATTCCTGGGAAGATTTTAAGTCGTACCATGCTGGAAAGACTGAAGGAAGCCGTGGATATAAAACTAAGAGAGGAGCAGGCAGGATTTCGTAAAAAGAGATCATGTACAGATCAGATTGCAACTTTGAGGATAATAGTGGAGCAGTCAACAGAGTAGAACTCTTCTCTGTACGTTAACCTTGTTGACTACGGGAAAGATTTTGACAGCCTAGGTAAGGACTCGACATGGAAGCTCATGCCCCACTACGGAATACCTGACAAGTTTGTGAGATTAATCAAGAAGACATATGAGGGAATTAGTTCCAGAGTCTTACTTGGAGGGCAGCGGACAGACTTATTTGAATTGAAAACAAGAGTGAAACAGGGATGCCTGCTATCGCCGTTTCTCTTTTTATTGGCAGTAGAATGGATAATGAGACAGACAGCATCTAGACAACACGGTGGCATTCAGTGTACCCTTTCCAGTCAGTTGGAAGACTTGGACTTTGCCAAGGACTTGGCACTTCTTTCTCACAGTCGAGCCCAGATGCAACAGAAAACAGATCGCCCCAAGACCTTCTCCCGTAGTGTTGGACTCCATATTCATACGGAGAAAAAGAAAGTTCTTTGAATAAAACCAGCCATCGTTCCTATCACACTGTAAGGGGCACCATTGGCGGATGTTGAATCCTTCACCTACCTGGGAAGTGCCATCAACAAGGCAGGGGGAACAGACAAAGACATCGAGGTCAGAATCGAAAAGGCAAGAGCAGCATTCATCATCCACAGGAATATACGGAAATCTAAGGAACTGGGATTGAACACCAAGCTGGGGATCTTCAAAACAAACGTGAAGACTATTCTACTGTATGCTTCAGTGACATGGAACCTCACAGCAACAGCAACAAGGAAACTGCAGAGCTTCATAAATGGAGGTCTAAGAAGGATAGTGGGGAACAAGTGGTATGATTGAGTCACAAATGCTCAACTGTGGGAAAGAACAAGCTAAATGCCACCAAAGGAAGACATACAGGTGAAGAAATGGAAATGGATTGGGCACACCCCGAGGAGACCCCCCGACAAGCATCATAAGACAGGCTTTGACGTAAGAAAGGAAGACCAAAGACGACAAGAAGGCGAGCGGTACACGCGGAAATGGAAAAGGCAGCGACATCATGGAAACAATTAGTATTAGAGAAGGATGCACAGGACAGGCTTCGCTGGAGAAATGTTGTTGATGGCCTATGATCCCCTGGCAGTTAAAAAGGGAGGGAGGGAGAGAGGGAGGGAGAGAGAGAGAGAGAGAGAGAGAGAGAGAGAGAGAGAGAGAGAGAGAGAGACCACCCAGCTGGCTGCCAGAAGTAGTGTACACACTATAACATGACACACAACATCCCTTCAGTACATATGTAGCTGCGCAATGCTAATCCCCTTCCTCCCACAAATGACTGTAAGCTGGGGCTTGTCACTAATTTGCAAAGCTTCTTGCGTATGAGTATAAAACTGAAGAAAAAATACTTCTCTTTAACAAAGCACACTCACCCATCAAAATCAGAAGTACCAACAACAAAATCATCAGTTGTTTTCTCTTTCCGGCTGGCAAGACTAGAACCAAGTTGGGGCACAGTCTGGTTGTCCTGCTCGTCCTGCTCATCATACTCTGTGTCTTGTTCATAAAGTCTGAAAACATGAGAGAGTTTTTTTAAATTTGATAAGATTTCGTACACATATTTTCGAACCAATAGAAAGAAAATAAACAAATGTCGTCTCAAAATGTCCAGTAGTTTAAACCTTCACAAAGTAACACTATGTATTTCGGAGGATCCCTCTTAAACTGCACCCAATCCGAAAACAGAGGTAAACCAAAAGAATATAAAATTCCCAATTTTTTTTCTTTGAGCAACCTATCTAAATCAAATGAATCTAGCAGTCCGCCAGCAGTCAACTTTTAGCTAAGGACAAAAATTTGTTAGGGTTAGAGGTTTGGGACCACCATATCAACTCTTCCAAAATTTCTTTAAAAATCGAGATGAAATTTACTCAAAATAAAGATGGGCGTCGGTGGCCTAGTGGTTAGGCTCTTGGACTCGCAACCGTAAGGTCGTGGGTGCGAATCCCGTCAAGGGCCCGACGTTGTGTCCTTGGGAAAGGCACTTTACACGAATTTTCCTCACTTCACCCAGGTGGGAATGGGTACCCGGCTATAGACAGCGAAAGATCTTGTCAGTTTGTTAGTGTTTGAGCGCTTAATCGGCTGCTCGCACTGTATGCTTCCCGGGAAGCTGAGAATGTTTCGGAGTGTTCTATGGTCTGCTGGGGTAATAATATAGTGTAAAGCGCATAGAGCCTGCTGTTGAGCGGGGATATGCGCTATACAAATGCTATCTATTATTACTATTATTATCTGTGCTCAACAGTAACTTTGAAAGCAGAGAATCAAATTGCCCATGAGGATGATGGGCTGAGAGCAAATATTCAAAGAAGGAGGGATGAGACCCCCCCCCCCCCCAAAAAAAAAAAACGGAGTAAATTTTGAATGTCTCAGATATATAAAAGCACATGTTTGCAATTCACTGTAGGCCTACTACAACAGCCAGCTTTATCAGTTTGAAATTGCCCTTTAAAAATCCATGTGATGAAATGGAGCAATAACCAAACTTGTAGCAAATCCCAATAACATTTTACTTCAGCCTTTTAGCTTCAAATTTACACCCTACCTTTCTAGTCTCTTTCGGCATTTTGGCTGCGAAACTTCCATAGAACTATTTGGTGACCTGAAATATTATACGAATCCAAATTAAGTAAAGTGCTCAGGAGCCAAAGGTATGACTTGACTAAGTGCAATCAGTCTTCCTGCAATATCAGACAGAGTAATATTTCATGTGAGCATTTTAGAAACACTTTGCCAATTCATAGATCAAGGAGAAAATTCGCGTAAAATCAGATGAATCAACAAACTAAAGCCAATCAAGAGTTGAATCTATTTAGCAGGAAATAAATATCGTTGCAAACAGTTTGAATATTTTAATCCCTGAAAGAAAACTTTTTCAGGTAAGAGAAAAAAAATGGTAATGTACTATTAATATAGGGCCGTCTACCTCAAAATTCGTAGTTCAGATAAATTCAGGGTCAATTTCAGGTATTTTGGCCAAAAATCAGGTAGTTCAAAGAAAAAAAAGAAAAAAAAAGACGAACATCACCATGGTACACACAGTTACCATTGAGCAGAGCTTGCTTTTTCATGATATTATGTAATTAGATTTTAAAAACTTGTGTGCAACGCATGCTCGAGCGCGTGTGTGTGTTTGTGAGTGTGTGTGTGTGTGTGGGAGAAGGTGAACAGTGTTGAAGAAACGAGAAACATTTTTGAAAAACTTTTATGAAGGAAATTATATTGTTGCCAAACCGCTAGAATGTTTTAATCCCTGAAAGCAAAACTTTTCAGGTGAGAGAAAAAATAGTGATGTTATAATACGGTAGTTGTATTTCAAGGCAATATCAAACCATCGTGGGTTGATAATAAAGATCCAACTGAATGTTTCAGGTCGTTCAGAGTAAAGTAAAGCTGTAATCTTCAAAAACATAATCATTGTTATCTTTTATTAGGAAAGGGGGGGGGGGGGGGGGG